AAACAGTTTTCCCCAAACTCAGTGACACTTGTAGGGACAAAAATTTCATTTAAATTGTTACACTCACAAAAACAATCTTTTCCAACACTTTTTAACCCATTTTTAAGTCTCACATTTGCCATGTTTTTACACATGAAAAACGACTTTTCTCCAATTTTTGTGACACTTTCAGGAAGTTCTATTGATATTAAAGCGACGCACTCTCTAAAGCAGTTGTTACCTATTTTGCATACGTTGCCTGGGATGTCAACATATTTCAAACTTGAACATTTCATGAACGTCCCATCGTTCAGTTCTGTGAGAGCGTTTGGGAGAACAACTTTCGAGAGCGCTTGACACTCGCAAAATGCCCTTTCACCAATACAAGTGACTGTATTTGGTAAATGTATTTCCACTAGAGCACTACATGCAAAAAAGCACGAAACTCCAACAACACACAAATTACTTGGAAGTGTTATTTTACTTAATAAAACGCACTCTGAGAAGCAAAATTTTGAGAGAACAGTGACTTTTTGTGTTATACATATTGAAGTCATTTTTTTGCACGACTTAAAGCAGTTACTTCCTATTTGACTGATTTGTATGGGAACAACAAAAGACGCGAGAGAGTAACAGTAGCTTAATAAGTCGTCTGGAAGGCTCAGTAAAAAATTGTTGCCATCTTCAAAAGTCACTTTTGTGAGTGAAACGCAATTTGAAAAACAGTTCTTTCCAAGAGAAGAAATATTGTTTGGTATTTTAACTGATTTTAGTGATGTGCACCCATCAAAACACCTCTCACAAACTTTTTTAATTGATTTTGGAAACGCAATTTGTGAGAGCGAAAAACACTTAGAAAATGCCGCTTTTGGAATTTGCGTCAACGACGTTGGAAGAGTAACTTCGAGCAATTTCTGACACGAAGAACAACAAGAAGCTCCAATGAAATACGCGTCATTGGGCATTTGAAATGTTTTTAATGACACACATCCATTGAAACAGTTTTTGCCGATCTTCTGCAGACTCTTTGGAAGACGAAGTGTTCGTAGCTCACTGCACAATGAAAAGCAGTTTGATCCAATCGAAGTCAAACCACTTGGGAGTACAATTGAGCTTAGATGGACGCAATTATAAAAGGAATTGTCTTCTATTGTTCTGATCTTTGGAGGAAGAACAATTGAAAGTAATGTCAAGCAACCTGAAAAACAATTCAACGCAATGGAAGTTGCTACACGTGGAATGCATGTAAAATAGATGTCAACATCTTTGCATGTGAAAGCCACATTTTTGAAGACATAACGGAAAGACGAGTAAGTAAGAGCAGTATAGCACGACACAGAATACCATATAATTACTTGAAAAAATGTTTTTGATGTTGTATTCTGACGTGTTTGAATCAAGTCGTTAACTTTGTTAGTTAAATAATCATTACCAAAAGTTATATCATCATTTGAATATAAATGTAGGGTTTCTATGTGTTGGAAATATTTAAGTGTGTGATTATTAAGAGGAATTGGATTAAAATGAAATTTATTAATTGTTCCTCGATATTTCTTGGTTACCATTTCTAAATGTACAAAGTCGCAAAATGTATCAAAGTATTTGGATACAATCATAACGTGATAACTCTCGAGTGTTATCATCAAAAGTTGATATAAAAATTGAATTATTGAGTTTAAAAAATTTTATAACACAAATAAAACAACAATATTAATATTTAATATTTATTTATTACATATTATTTTACATAAATAATTGTTAAAGATGATAAAATATTAAACACTTTCATTTAAATAAAAAGAAATGAATAAGTTTAAATTTATTTTTTTAATTCTTTTTTAAAAAAAAAGTGAAAGGTGTCTATTTGTCGTTATCTGAATTGTCGAACGAGTCCATTTATCGCACAACTGACCAATCATTTTAGTGCAAGACAATTAAACATTTTGTTCTCGAATCTGTACCTTTTGTTGAATTTAAACCAAATTTTTATCCAAAAATAAATTTGAATATTAAAATGAACTTTTTTAAAAAAATTCTCTCAAATTCAATAAATAAATAAATTTTTGTGCTAGATTTACGATAAATAGACCTTTTTCAATGTAATTTATTTCTCAAGACACTTATAATTATAATAGTGCTTTTTTTTATAATATTGTACTGCATTTAAATAATATCAACAAAAATAACATTGAATAAATAAAACAGGTGTATTTCCTTTAATTAAGTTCAATTTAACGCAAATAACTGAAATTAATCATATTAAGTGCATTAATGTATGAACATATTGATTATTTTATTGTCAAATAATTTCAATGTGATAAAAAACAAACAATATATAAAACCCCTTTTTAAACAAAAAATTGTTTTAAAAATTTAATGATATGAAAAAATAAATGATTAATTTCAGATTTGGAGTTTAAAGAGCATTAATTTCATTGTTGCCAATCTTAATTAAGAATAGTTTGCAAAATAGTGTAAGGAAAAGAGTATAATATCATTCATTGTTTTGGTTCAACAGTAAACAATAAATATGGTATTGATTAAAAAATCAAACAACTTTGAAATATGTTTTTTGCCACTATTTTGAACTTCCAATAAACATGTATATTATTATTCACTCAATGATACGGTTTATTATTATTACATTGAAAATACAATTCAACAAAAACAAAAAAATTAGTCATTTCAAAAAGCTGTTAAAAGCAAGAGTGTGAATAGTACGCAAATCATGACCGCCGAACTTTTTTGTGCAGTGCACTGGTAGCACTCCGAATCAATACAAGGTTGTTGGTATGATTTATTGCACTCCTTACATCCCACGTTATAATAGAACTGATTTCTTTTGCATGGATTCTTCAAACACTCTCCATTCGAAAAGACTGTGTTACCCTTGCAGTACAACTCACAGAAATTTCCATTAAAAAATCGGTCTTCAGTGCAGTTTGCGACACATCTTGTGTTAACTCGGTACTCATAAATAGTACATTTCGGATAACACTGGCCAAATATTAACGTCTCGTCTTCTTGACATGTTAACACACACAAATGATTGACAAGAGTATGATTTGCATCACACTTGGGATAACACGTCATATCAACTCGTTCTTCGTTCTCTTTACATTTCAATGTGCATGTCCCATTAATTCGCTCCTCTGTGTATTTACAGACTTGTTTACATACAAACCCAATTCGCACCTCATTCTTCTTACACGCCTTCATACACAACCCGTTGACCCGCTCCTCATCTTTCAAACACTCCGTGACACAGACACCATTATACCTCACTGTCTTGTCCCCTTTACACTTCGGCCAACAAAATCCATCAATCACCTCGTATTCATTGTCACAATAATCAATGCAAACATCACCGGCTCGCTGTTTGTCTTGTGGACATCGAGGTGAACATATCCCATTAATCCGAACTTCTTCTCTTGGGCATCTGGCTACACACGCATTCCCAACACGTTCTTCTGTGTTGGTACAGACAGGAAAACACTCGCCGCCTATTCTTTCGTATCCGTCAGTACATGGCGGCTTACACTCAATCCCGACATTCACAGACCCGTTTGTACACTTCTGGACACAATCCCCTTGATAGAACGTGCCTGTCTTCCCACAGTTATACTTCCAACAAGTGTACTCATTGAAGTACGTTGTATCGTCGCACAAATCACAATAGTTTGACAAACATAACAAACAGTTTTTGTTATATTGAAGACACGTAGTCATGTCAAATATACACTCGTCGTTTACACCGTCTAAAGATGACATGTTTGTTGGGCAGGGAAGACATCTGAAAGTGTTTTCTTCAATCAACTGAGTTTTATTGCACTCGAGGTGGAAGGTGTATGCATTACACAAGTAGTCCGAGACATACTCTTTAGTCACAAAAACGTTTGTTTGGAGCGGGAGAGAGTCACTGACACAGATAGGAATTGATACTCCGTGGTAGTATATAGTTTTCATCTCATCACTAAACACCTTCTTCCCTATACTTGTGACATTTAGCAAGTGTATTCTAACTAACAATGGACACCCGACAAATGCGAACTCTGAGATGTAATATATCGACTCCGTGTGAGTCACATTTGCTAGAGTTGAACAATTAAAAAACATTAATTTTGGTATCCGCTCAGCCAAGTTAATATCAACAGTTTTTAGACTGTGACAATTCGAGTAAACTCCGTCGCCATAATTGTGGTGTGGAAATAATTTGGCTTCATTGAATCCAGTGTTACTAAATGCATAATCGTGTACATCTATAGTGTTGTCTAGTAGATCAATAGAAGTAAGTGCCGTACAGTTTGAAAAAGCAGAGTCGCCAATATACAAGAGCATGGGTGTATTTTCAACTCGGTTAAGGCTAACACACCCACTAAACATGAAGTCACTAATAGTAGTTGAATTATTAATATCAACACTATTCAACATTAGACATTCTTGAAAGACACCAACTCCATATGTGGCATTTGCTACAAGAGAAACTGACTGAATTCCACTTTGTTTAAACGAGTAATCGCCAAGAGTTACAAGTGTGTGTGGAAATGTGAATGACTCAAGTGACTCACACAATGAAAATGAATGAACTCCAATAGACACAAGAGAGTCGGTGTTAGTTAATATATGCAATTTGCTGCAATTTGAAAACATAAAATCAGTCGTTTCTTTAATACCAGAAAAGTCAACGGACTCAAGTAAATGGTTATTAGAAAACACACCACCTGCATATACAACTGATGGTGTTAAAACTAACTGAGTAAGTCCTGTGTTACTCATTGAATACTCTCCAAATGAAGTGATACCCTTGATGAATGAATAGTCTCCTATTTTCACACATCCTGAAAGAGAGTATTCGCTTAAATTTATAAGACTTTCAATTCCTGTGAGTGTGACTAATTCATTACATCCAAATAAAAAGTATTTAGGGAGTGTGGCAATCCCTCCCAAATCGATTCTATTCAGTCGCAAACAATTTGAGAAAAGACCATCGCCATAAACTACGTTTGAGCGCATAACAAATTCAGTTAAAGGTACTCCACTCAATGAATAATTTCCAAAAGAAGTGACTGAGTCAATCCCATTGATGTTTACTAGAGATGAACATCCTTTAAAAATGGAGTCTGACAGTGTTACATGTCCATTCAGTTCGACACTTATAAGGTGTTTACAGTCTTTAAAAACTCCTTCTGGATACACAGATGAAGTCATCATTGTATAATTAGTAAGAGCAGTTCCACTCAATGAATATTCGCCAAATGTTATAACACTCTCAAGTCCAATAATTGTGTCTAATACTTCACAACCATCAAATGAGTGTGTTTTAATGTCTGTATGTCCACATAAGTCGACTTTCTTCAATTGACTGCACCCATTGAATTCGTATCCATTCGTGAGTGCCGTCGCACTATTTAATGATGCACTTTCTATTGAAGACCCACTCAAAGCATACTTCCCAAGTGTTGTAAAATGCTCTCCACATATAAATGAAGGGATTGCCGTATTCTGTAGTCCACCCTCGTCTATAGATATCAACTCTTCTATACCCTCAATAACACTCAACTTGTTACACCCAGAAAACATATAACTCATTATTGAAGTTGTCCCATTTAAATCGACACTTGTTAGTTGTTTGTTGTTACGAAAGACACCACTGTGATACATCGCATTGTTTAACACAATTTGAGTCAGTCCAGTGTCCTCAAAAGAGTTTTCTCCAAATTCAGTGATTCTCTCAAAGCCATCTACACTTCTTAAAGAGGTGCATCCTTTGAACATAGAGTCTGGAATTACAGTGACATCACCAACATCAACAAATGTGAGCGACTTGCTATTAGAAAATGCTCCAACGCCATATGTCACACTTTTTGATAATTTCAAAAAAGTGATGTTCGTCCCAGCAAGACTTTCTTCTTGAATCTGTGTGACTGCAGAAAGTCCTTCGATCTCTTCCAAACTTGTGCATCCGCGAAATACGCCAGTTGGCAGTGTTTTTACATTTTTCAATTTAAAGTGTTTAAGAGACGTGCAATTGTCAAATGCATATTCTCTGAGTGTTGTCGTCTTTAACAGAGAAACGTCCTCTAGAGCAGTGCTTTTAAAACAGTTTTTACGAAACTGAGTCACATTTTCTATTCCTTTGACTGTTTTTAAAGAGGTGCACCCTTCAAAAACGGATTCTCCAATGTTATATATAGAACCCAAATCAACACTTTCAAGGTGTCTGCAGTTTTTAAATGCATTTGATTCAACAACCACATTTTTAACAAAAGTGAAGTGTGTAAGACCGGAATTTTCAAATGCATTCTGCGAGACTGAATTACTAAGAGAAGGGAAATCGACTTCTCTTAAAGATGTACACCCTTGGAACGCATTAGATGAAATACTTTTGACCAAAGGAAAATTAACATGGGTTAACGAAGTACACCCACTAAATGCGTTTGCAGAAATATATATGGCAACTCTGTTTTCGACTATTTGCAGCTCTTTGCACCCTTCAAACGCGTTATTGTAAAATTGAGAATAAGAAGCCCGAGTTATTACAGCACGAATGCCACTGTTTCTGAACGCAAATACATCAACCAAAGTCGTTCGAGAAAAAACAAAGTCGTGGAGGTTGACACACCCATCAAATGCATAACTAAGAATTATAGTGATATATTTGCTATTAATCAAATATTTTAATTTTGTACACCCCTGAAATGTGAATGCGGATATTTCAATCACTTCATACATATTCACTGTTTCAAGCTCTTTACAGTCTTTAAAAATGCCATCTTTAAAACTAAAATGACGAAATGAAAACGTCTTCATACCACTCGCCATAAACGTGTACCCGCCAACCTTCATGAGATTGTTGCTGAACTCGATGTGAGTCAGAGAAGTGCAATACGCAAATGACATGTTCCCAATAAACTCAATACCATACGATTTGGGAAATGCAGACAACTTGGTGCAATTTTGAAAAGCCGAATGGCCTATGTAAGTTATAACGTTTTTAACAGTAATTTCTTTAAGAGGGGTGTTCATAAATGCACCCGAATTGATGACAATTTTTTCATCAGAAAGAAACGTGACGTTGTCTAATTGTGTATCCTTAAAGCCGTTTTCACATACTATAGAATGCACCGCATCGATAATTGCTTCACCACTGCACAGTAAAAGGTCTGTCGCATATGCACAATTTGAAGAAGAGTCGTACGAAACATCACACGACCCAAACACTAAAGACACAAAATAGAGAAAACAAAAACCCATGATTTTTTAGTTAAATTAAATTTTTATTTTTTATGTTTTTTTTAATAAACTGCACTATTTTTTTATTTTTTTTCATTTTTTAATAATTAAAAAGAAGGTTTTATAATATGTTTTATTAACACTTTAACAATTTCATAACCCAAAAGTTTTTTTTAAGAAGAAAAATAAGTAAAAAGGAAATTGTCTAAATCATTTTTTATTATTTTTTATTTCAAAAACCTCTTTCTAACCCAAACCGGCCAATAGTCAGTTTTATTTTACTTAAAACAATTAACAAATAATAACTCAATTACCTAAGATTGATCAAAAATAATCTTTTTAGATGAAATTTCATATCACTTTATCGTGTTTCAACATTTAATATAAAAACGCTACATCGTCAATCCACTTTATAACAAACAATGTAAAATAGTCACATTAACAAATATAACATCAATATAAACACCAATATTGTTATAATCAAATGACAATATAATTTTAAATAAAAAACAACCAAAAATATCAAACCATCATTAGACCCCATCTTTCTTACTTGTGCTTTGCTCTTGTTTAACACAAATAAACTCAATATAGAATCAAAAAGTGGATAAAAATGTTACTTCACATGACATAATAAACTCATTCATGTTTAAGTGTGACTAAAAAATAAACAATTCAAATTTTAGTTGATTAAAAAATAAACAGAAAATCACTAAAATTCATTATGAGTATGAAGGCAAAAAAAAGGTTTAGGTAAAAGAAAAAAATAAAAACTTATTATTATTACGTTTTTGTTTTAAACGTGTTAAAAATTGTAATAAAAATGAAAAAATCGATACAGTAAAATTTCCTAAGAGTGGCACTTCGGAAGAGCGGGTTCTCTCAGGAGTAAGCACTTTAGACTGAAACAAAAATCAAGTTTTCTAAAGAGTGGTGATTAAGGTCTGATTGTCTAAAATGACCGTTCTTGAGAGAACAAAAATTACCATACTTTCCAGCTTTTGAGAGGTTTGACTTTAATTTGAAAATGTGTTGCTATTTTTAACCTCAAAAACAAATCTTAGGTGATTGAGTCCTCGTTTTTATTATTTTTGACTAAGTTTTGGGCCTTTTTTCGTTTTTTTCGGCCAAGAAGGGGTTTTTGGTCTTTTTTAATTATTTTTCTCAAGAAGGCGTTTTTTGATATTGTTATTATTCTAATAAATAATTGGTTTTCGGCCAGTTAAGTGATAATGTAAAGTCTGTTTTTTATTTAACGATATTGGGTTATTACTATTATATATAATAACAGTATTATAATTTATAATAAAAATAAAGTGGTTTTTTTAAAAAATGGTTTGTATTTTATTTTTTTGTTCTTTTTTTTATAAAAGTGTGTTAAAAATAACAAAAAACATAATTGCTTGACAACTGAAAAAATTATAAAGCCAAAACGAAGAATAGGTTGGTCTTGAAATGTGAATACGACGAAATAAACCGTGTCAATTGGATTATCCAAAATGATAAAATGTCATATTTTGATAGAGCAGACGTGTCATATTATCATGTGAGTCAATTTGAAGACGACAACAAGTAAATTGGAAAAAAGTCAATGCTTTGGATTTGTTTAACATTAGTTTTAATTAATGACAATTTTATTAATAGTTTTTAATTAGCGATATTGAGTATGGTAAATAATGGTTTAATATTTTCTGTCTAGTTCTTTTCTTTGTTATATTTTTAGAATATCGTTAAATAGAAAAGAGACTTTATATTTCGAATGATGAATCGATATTTTTTATTAAAAAATATTTTTTTTATATTTTTTCGAATTTAAAAATTGTAATAAAACAGGGTCTATCACGTGACAAAAGTGTTTTTTCTTTGTTATTAGCCACGTCACCAAAGTGAACTTGAATTTATGTTCACTTAGTTCTTTTAGATCTAGCGGCGAGCTTAAAGCCGACTTTTGTAATCGAAAAAACTTAGAAACAGATAGTTATTTGAATCAATACTTGGCCAAATAATGGGAAAACAAGCCAATTCAATTCTTAAATATCGGTTTATATTTTATTACTGCTGTGATTGCCATAATTAACACAAAAATTGTGACAAATGCAGCACTGTTTTACACATCAACCTGATAGTTACAAATAACATTTTAATAACACAAATAACAATGAAATAACAATCTATTAAATAATTATATTTTTATTAATAATATGTTATAAAATAAACCTATTTAACTTATAATAAAACCAAAAAGCCATTAAAGACCTGCGACATACCTGCACTGGCTTACGTGGCAATACCTTTTTACAAAAAACATGGACAAAATGAGATAAAAAGATTAAATAAAAAGAAAAGTTGATGGAAAAAAACTTGGAAAAATTGAAATTTCATTTTAAAATTTATGAAGAAAAGAACATATTAGAAAACAAAAATCATTTAATAGTTCGCTCAAATAATATACAGATTTGAATTTATACAATTTATAAAAGTAATTACATCATAAAATGGTCTTTTGTTAGTTTCATTTTATATAAAGTTATAATAAAAAATAATGTGTAAATTTGAACATTTTTCTATTTATATAAATCAAATAAAACACAAATTTAATAAAAGACTTGCATGCATCTATTCGGGAAAACTTGTTATTATTCATATTAAAATCTTTTATGGGAATGTTCGTTCTATTTAATATACAAAATATATCAAAATTTAATACATTTTATTATAATAATGGTGTTGGGATAAAATATTCTTGAAAATAATATTCTACAAATAAAGGTACAATTTTTTTCAACAATAGTTCAATTGTTACTTAAAATAAAAATAAACAATAATTTTGATTTACATTTCTATTAATAAGTTAATTCGATGTTTATTTTAACAAAAAGTAAAAATAAACGATAACACAAAACATCAAATTTAAAAATTCACACATTTTACATAATTTTAGTAATTTCAAACATTTTTATAATTTATAACATTATTTCGTTTTTATTTAAAATATAAATATTATAAAATGAAACAATATGTTAAAAATATAATTGTGTTTCAATATAACTAAATTTAAAATATAAATAAATAAAAATCATGTTGGTCTTTAATCTATATTTGTCTATTAATTTATTTAAAATACCAGTATATAAAAATTGAGTATTATTTTGTTGCTAAAAATAACTTTTATTATGTTTCGAAATCAACGATTTAATATTGAAAAATTATATTATATTTACAGAACTAAAATTAATATATATAAACAAATTGATGATAAGTTTCAAACAAAAATATCGTGTTAATAATAAGTCATGTATATAATTATATAATATTGTTTCTAAAATTATGTTTTTAACTTGACATACAAAGTATATTTATTTTCATTATATTATTTAAGCAAACATTTTTAATATAGTAATCATGGACTTTCATCCAGAATTGACACAAATGAAAAGTCAAAAGAAGTGTAAAGATGGTACATATAAGTTTATACCGTTAGTTGATGGTTATCCATTTCACCCACAAAATGGCAACAGAAATATATTTAAATGCTGCAGTTGCGAAGTGAAAATTAAAATCACACGGACGGAAGGTTCAAATGACAACTTTAAATACATTGAATATGATTTTGTTGACAAAACCAAAACACGACACACTCACGACAAAAAAACAGTGAACATCAAATCCACAAAGTTAAAAGAGATGGTTGAATCAAATTTGTTGATTTCTGCTTCTAAATTGATAGAACAACACGAAGAATTGTTTATCAAAGATTCAAGAAGAATGACAACAATACGAAGAACAATCAATAAATTAAAAAGTTGTATGATTGAAGAAAAGTTAAACGGATTGTTGTATGGTGATAAGTATCATGTAGTCGACGAAGACAAATATTTTATTTTTATATCAATTGAAAAAGTGGTTGAAATGAAGGATTGACAAATTGCATATGTGTTAATGGATGGAACGTTTAGTTCGTGCCCAAATGATTACGAACAATTATATACTATTCACGTATTGTTATCAAACGGACAGTGTTATACATTAGTTCATTGTTTAATGTCTAAAAGAAGAGAAAGTGATTACCGCGAAATGTTTAGTGTAATCAATTCCTACTTTATCTCTCTTTGGAATCATCAATTACTTTAAAAAATACCAGTGTCATGATAGACTTTGAAACAGCAGTAATCAATATCTTGTCAGATTTGGGTTGTTGTGTGCATGGGTGTTATTTTCATTACACCCAGTGCTTGTGGAGAGCACTACAAAGAATCGGTCTTTCGAGTTATTATTATCCTGGTACTACTATTTGGAAAATAATGTCAAAATTGAAAGTTTTGGCATTTTATAAAGCAAGCGAAATAATTGATAAGTACGATGACATTAAAAAACAAACTGAAAGTCGTGAAATTGATAAAGAACTAAAGATCAAAATAGATGACTTTTTGAATTATTTTGAAGATGTTTGGTTGAATAAATATCCAATTGATCTTTGGTGCCAATTTGATCAACAAGTTAGGACTGATAATTTATCCGAAAGTTATCATTCGGCTCTTGTAAAAAGAATAAGTACCAAAAAACCAACAGTTGAGACATTGTTGTTGAACTTGATGAATTTGGAAGCACTTTAATTGAAAAAAATAAAACAAATGGATAGTGGTAAAAATCATTACAGTAATAGACCAACAAGATTGTTTTATATCACATTAAACTACTACAGTCAAAGCTCCAGAAAAGAATCATTCGAAAACAATTTAGTTGAAGTTATCAATGGATATAATTGGACAAAAATATACGAGCTTGGTTCAGAACCAACATGTGTTGATATTTTGAATACTACAAATTTGACAACGAAGAAAGTGAATGAAAACTATATCGGAGAAATAAAAGACAAAGTGAAAGAAAAAGAAAGTACAAACGAAAATGAACAAATCTTTTTAGAAAAAGAAAGAAAAGGAATTCAAAAAATAAAAGTTGTTTCGTCTCTTACAGTTGATAAAAAGAAAAGTGCAGGTGTAAAAAGAACCTCAAGCTATGTTCCATTATCAAAAAGAAAATTTGTTGGTGATGGTAAAAGGAAAAGAAAAACACATAAAGATAATTAAATTAAAATGATTTGTTGATTTTTAACATATCTACAATTTTAACTGCAATATATTCGCTTAATTCAATATAAAACTCTTATAAAAATTATTTATATTTCAATAAAACGTATATAGTTTTAAATAATTTACATTAAATAGAAAAAGTTTAATTTTCAAAATTCACATGGTTTTAATATAAGAACATTCTAATAAATAATTATTATTTATTAAATGATTAAATGAATAATATATGTTTTATTTTACATGATTGTAATCATTGTTAAAAAATATTAAATAAACAATATTATGTGTAATTCATACTCAATTTTTATATACTCGTATTTTAAATAAATTAATAGACAAATATAGATTAAAGACCAACATGATTTTTATTTATTTATATTTTAAATTTAGTTATATTGAAACACAATTATATTTTTAACATATTGTTTCATTTTATAATATTTATATTTTAAATAAAAACGAAATAATGTTATAAATTATAAAAATGTTTGAAATTACTAAAATTATGTAAAATGTGTGAATTTTTAAATTTGATGTTTTGTGTTATCGTTTATTTTTACTTTTTGTTAAAATAAACATCGAATTAACTTATTAATAGAAATGTAAATCAAAATTATTGTTTATTTTTATTTTAAGTAACAATTGAACTATTGTTGAAAAAAAATTGTACCTTTATTTGTAGAATATTATTTTCAAGAATATTTTGCCACTCAACCACGGGGATTCACCATTTCCGTGTGGATACGCCCTATCACGTTAACACTCTTAATAATATAATATTATTTTATTAATCTTTTATTATTTTATTATTATAAAACTATATATTTATAATTTTAATTATTTAAATTAATATTTTATTTAATTTAATCTAAGTAAATTTAATTTTTTGGTAAGTAATAATAGTTAATTAATTATACTATTATATATCATTCTATACTTATAAATCTAAAGAGTACAGACAAACTGTTTTAAATAAAAAAATG